ATTAAGTTAGGGGATAAAAAATATCTTTACCTAATTTTATTTTATGTACCTTTAATATTTCATAATGTTTAGTTTACAACTCACGCATGTAAATGTCAATTTAATACATTTGAACCACGAATCTTCCAGGTAAAAAAAAAAAAAAAGTAAAGTAAAACCACGAATCTCCCGCTCGTAGGGAGGAAAGGTTGTCCAGGATGGGCTTTATGAAAAATATGAATTGGATCGAATTAACAATTAATGGGACAGATGCTATTATTATTGGGCTTACAAGGAAAAGATGGATCTGAGTTTTTTAATTCTGTCCTTCTTCTCTTGAAGGACAATGTGCATAGGGAGATTATGGGATCTCAATCTCCAAACTCTTGTTTAGTTTTATTCTGTAACTGGGCATAGCTCTTTTCATTACCAAAAACAAAAAGAAGGTTTGGACATATAGAAGAGCAAGAGTAGTGGAAGTAGTGAAGAAATCTGTGAATATTCTCTCCGTACGATCCTTTCCTGTCTGTTCGGCCCTTTCAGCTTCCTGCTTCTCTCTGTGACTATTTGTTGTGAAATTCCTTTATGCTACTTAGCTTAACTCTGATGTATATATGAACCCAGTTGAGATTTCAATTCAATAACACACTGGTGAGTATTCAATTTCAGCCTCCAGGCGAGCGAGGGGAGCTGCTTTAGATATATATATTGCATCTATTATTTTTTTTAAAAAAATAGTTGGTAAAAAAAGGGGGGAATTGCATTACGAGCCCTAAAAAACACATTATTACACTTTGAGCTCAAAAAACTTTGATATTGCACTACAAGCCTTGGGCCCTTATTACTATTTTTCTTAAAACTAAAAATACTATTGTCTTTTCCAATCCAAAATCGCATGCTTGCTCTCTGTCTCTCTCATGCACACCCTTTCTCTCTCTTCGCATCAAATTCAAAAATTGAAATGGTTACGAGCATGGAGGATTTCCAAAACTGCATCAAAATGGAGTTCATGAAATGAAAAGGCTGTACTATCCCACGACAACTACTTTGCTCATCCACACTCAACTATATATATCCTTTTTCTCTTCTAGTTTGTCTTAGTGAAAGCGCTGCTTCTTCGCCACCTGCAATTGCTTTCTCACTTGATGACCTATATTTGAATTGTCTCGTTGAAGAAGGTGAATTAGGGCCTTTGATATGAATTTGTCTTCGTTCTTGACATTGCTGGCGATGTCGTTCATAATATTTGTAGTGTTGATGCATTGTTTTGTGCATAATGGATATTGTATTGCAACACATCTACTAAAATTTCATGAAAAGACATAAACTTTTAGTTGAGCATACGTGAGTATTGTCTTGTGTAAAATAGATATTTTGTTGTGCATGGTCTGCCCAAATTATCCATTTTGTTGAGCCTATGCTACTAAAACATTAGAAAGCCATAGACTTTGAGTTACGCATATGTGAGCATTGTCTTGTATATAGTGGATATGGTGTTGTGCATGGTCTGCCTAACTTGTTCATTTTATTGAGACTAGGCTATGAAATATTGGAAAGGCATGGACTTTCAGTTGAGTATATGTGAGCATTGTCTTGTGCATATTGAATATTGTATTGTGCATGGTTTGCCTAAGTTGTGCATGGTTTGCCTAACTTATCCATTTTGTTGAGCCTAGGCTATGAAATGCTAGAAAGACATGAACTTTCAGTTGAGTATATATGAGCATTGTCTTAGGCATAGTAAATGTTGTATTGTGCATGGTCTGCTTAACTTGTCCATTTTGTTGACTAGGCTATGAAATATTGAAAAGGCATGAATTTTCAGTTGAATATACGTGACCATTGTCTTAGGCATAGTGAATGTTGTATTGTGCATGGTCTACCTAACTTGTCCATTTTGTTGAGCTTAGGTTATGAAATACTAGAAAGGCATGGACTTTCAGTTGAGCATACGTGAACATTGTCTTGTACATAGTAAATGTTGTGTTGTGTATAGTTTTGTGTAGGTTTTCTAAATTCAAATCAAACAAAGGGCAAAAATGTACTTTTAGTCTCAAGAAAAATTGCAAACAAGGCCTAAAAACTTGCAATGCAATATCATATTTTTTTTCAGGCTCAAAGTGCAATTATGTGTGTTTTTAAGGCCCTTAATGAGATTTTTCCTGAAAAAAGAACTTACATGAGAGATGGATTTATGAAAGGATATTTGCAGAACACAAAAGTAGAAGGATTTGAGAACGACGACGAGAAGAAAAAGTGTACTTACAAGCTACAGGAAGTGTAACACTATTGAAAAATAATCTTACACACACACACATTCTAATATATTAATATATATATATATATATATATTATGAAAATTTATGTATATAAATAACACATGATGAAACTTTTAGTTGTCCGTTGAATTTTTCTTAATTATAAAAGTGTACTTACAAGCTACAGGATTTGACATTGCCAGGAAGAAGACTATAGGGAAGGCCGTTTTTGGTGAACAAATTGTGGACGTCGACCTCGGAATCAGATCGGAGAGTCAGGTTCCTGAGAGGTAGGGGCACGTCCACATAGGCTTCGGAATGGGTTATCAGTATCAGAAGAAGTAAGCAGAAGAAGAAGCGAATTGGCACGTGGCATCATGGATGGAACTCTGTAGCTATTAAATTTTACAACAAAATATTTTTAGATTGTATTTGAATGAGTGCATTTAAGTTAGGAATTTGATTTTAAAATCTCACATTTAAAATTTATAAATTTTAAAAATTTTATTTGAATGATATAAACATTTTTTAATTATAACATTAAAATAATTTGTTTAGATCTTAAATAAAATTTCAAATTTTAAATTTGAACGACATTAGTAGTCCAATCTTAATGGGCAACGGTAGTCCAACCCTGGTCGACTTCAACAGTTAGATCTCAAACAATGTCTAAAGATTTGCATAGGACAATTACATCAATTCGAGGGTTGCAGATTGGAACTAGATGATGACACCAGAACATTACCGAACAACGAAGGTAGATGGATAAAAAATGGTAATTACAGACAGGTCTCGGACAGTAGTGACGGTAGTGGACCGACACATGTTGGATGTGATAGACCAACATAGGATGGTGGTAGTGAACCGAAATCGAATGACGACATTAGATCAACATTGAATGATGATGACAGCAAATCGGCATCAGGCGGCAGAGGAGGGTTGTCCCAGTTGACACCAGCTGTCTGTCCCGGTCACATCTGACAATCCCATCATGGTCGTCATTGGTAGTTCAGTCCTAGTTGGTGTCAGCAATCTAGTCCCTATTAGTGTCGACTGTCAGATCCTAGTTAACGCTAGTGATCTAGTCCTAGTCAAAACCAATTGTGCGATCCTGGTTAGGTAGGCGTTGGTGGTTTGGTCCCTATCAATGTTGGCCATAAGGTCTCAATTTATGCTAGCAGTCTAGTCCTTGTAGACCAAGGCAAACTGGTACCAATCATTGCTTGCAGTCCAGTCCCTATCGACGTCAACAATTTGATCCCAATCAACACTGATAGTCCAATAATCATGGATGTCAATCGAAGGTAGCAATGTCAAAGTTAAGAAGGTAGCAAAATCGAGGAGTAAACACAAAAAAAAAGAGAAACTTTCATTAAAATTTGAAATAATAGGGGTTTATAAAGAATTTGAAAGTAGGATTTGGATTTGAATTATCAAATCTAAATTTACACATTTTTAATTACCTAAATAATATATCCAAATCTATATGCATCCACACATAGCATTAAAATGATTTTATAACTTACTGGCTGAAATAATATATTAAAAAGGAGCAGTAGGCGAGAAAAGCGTGGAAAGGGAGGGAAATAAAAGCATTAATTTATTTTTTGGGCAATGCCAAAGCTTTGTTAAAAAAATTCCCACTAATATTATTAAATTCTATTTTTTGGATATTAAAAATCTTATTAAATATTATTATAGAAAAGGGCGAGGATGAAATAAAACCTACTAAAGTCTTATTCTAAAAAATTTAAAAGATAAATGTAGAAATAATTTATAAATTTTATTTTTTACATAAATATTTTTTATTTATAAATTATCTTTAAGATATATGTGTTATTTTAAAATATGAAATTGATCATATTAATTTTGATTATAATAATTAATTCTTGAATCAATCCCTCATACAATTCGGTGGCTGGTTCAATCTTTTAAACCTTATTATCTTAGAGAATTTCATGCCATTCATACTATACTCCTTAGGATGTAACATTCCTCACCTTGAAGAGCTGAGACCTCTTTAATTTTCAGTTGTTTTTTGGTTTGTTTCGTTTTGGTTCTTTGTTTGCATTTTCTCTTTCCTCCCTATATATACTTAAATAAAAGGATATTTGCATTCACATATGACTATTACACTCCATTATCCATCCGATCTTAATTATAAGACAAAATTACTTAACTTCATAGCTATTAAAAAATAATAATTAATATCTTTGAACTTATAAAAAAAGGTTTTACTTTCCAATTTTATCATTGACTAAAATTAATGAGGACAATAAATTAATATATCTAGAAATTACATCTTTGTGCAATTAAAGAGAAGTAATATTAAAAAACTAATTATTACTTCCTTTAATTTTATTTATAAATTATTTTCAAAATATTTTATTAAAAGTAAGGATAACTTTAAATCTCATTAGTCATATTAAAATTTAATAACTGTCGGGTAAAAAAAATTATTTTAATAATTTTTATAGCATTTAATAAGAATAGAAAAGTAAAGATAAATGTAGAAAATAGTGAGGTCCTCTATAAACAAAAATAAAACATTAATTTTCTTTTTTTATTATATAAATAGAATTAGAGGAGTATATCTTTTGCTTTATATTTCAGATTAAATAAAATTTTAAAACTTTGTCATATAATTAACACAGAATGGAATGTATACGTAGTGGAAGCACAAATGAAAAATAAGGACTCGAAATTGAGATTAGAAACAGCAACTCAGCAAGAAATTGCTGACATGCAACATCAATAGTGGGGATGCTTAGCTGCATTATCATTCATAATTATTTAATACAAGTCGTACATTTTTTTTCTTTTTCTTTTTTTATAAATCCATACACCAATCCAATCCCAAGCAGAAAGGGTCCTCCAGTTGCAGGCATCAGCAAGCTTTTATAAAGGCACAAGTATCCCACTTTATTCACGTCCTGCCATCTCGACACCTGTAATATACCCAGAAAACATAATTCGATATATCATAATGGAATTAACAGAGCTTCATAACAATTAACTAACGGATGAGGAGCAGAGAAATTAACTCTGATCTCCTTTTGGAAATTCTCTCAAACACCAGATCGTTCATTAAATATAATAATGATGATGATGAAAATAATAATCCTTAGCGACTACCTCACATGGCTTCCAAGTCATTTCCTTTTGCCACACATGCAGGCGCAACATTGAACTCCTTGGCAGGAAAATCCTTAAACAGCCCACCATGCTGAATCCAACAGTGCCTGAATTCTCATTCACCTGGATGCGACCTCGTCAACCAAAACCCATGTTCCGTCAGTCCCCGAATTCCGTTCACTCGGGTCAACGATCCGTAAGCAAGTCTCGCTCTGATTTTCGTATTGTACCGAATACCCAACGACACAGTACAACGCTTTTGGAGTTCGACGCGCAAGACGCCTTTGTCGGAGAGATTGTAGGATTTGACGTTGTCGGGAAGAATACCCTTGGGAAAGCCGTATTTGTTGAGCAGATCGTGGACGTCGTCGACTGGTTCATCAGATCGCAGAGGCATGTTCTGGAGAGGTAAGAGGACATCGTCATTGGCTTCGGAAAAGGATATCAGTTTCACTAGGAGTGCACAGAAGCAGAAGCAGAAGATGGGAGAGATGCGAATTGGTGGAGCCATGGATATATGACACTCTTTAGCGCAAATATATCAATATATTCAGCTTGCAACGGTTGGAACTGATGCACTCTTCTGATCGTGAAACCAGCTCCTTTATATAACAATAATAAAGTGAAAGATAATTTTCATGGGCAGGCCATGTAGTATTAATGATTGATAATGATGACCCTCAACATAATATTACTGTCACATGGGGATACAGGTCGAGATGGGGTCATCACAGTACTGATGAAGAGATGGTTGTTGAGAATTTGTTGCTCTGCTTCCAGAACAGAAAACAAGGCATTGGGGGGGGGGGTGTGTGGGCAACACGTTGCTTGACATACACGTTTCCCGAACTCCACAGTTGGACGTGGCTGATATTTCTGCTTCTCGCCGAGCAGCATCGGAGAACCATGGACAGAGGGCAGAGGAGTGCACAGTGAAGATTGACTGTGAGTTTCAGGCTCCTCGGTACTGCCCATCCTCCTCGGTTCCCCACCTCGTATATATAGAAATTACCAAATTAATCAACAGAGTAAATTAGAACCTGAAGCAAGTTTTAGGAAGTTGGCATGTGGATCTCTGTTCAGCATTCACAAGAATCCAGTTTTGCGTTAATTCAATTTTACCAAATAGATAGGGAAACTTTATCCATGAGGATCCCACATTTACACCCAATTTCTCCATGGTCTCCTAAATATAAAATTCTTTTGAGAGTCTTAGTTTGATCCTAAATATAAAGTCACACTTTTTTTCTCGGGTTCCGTAGGAGCTAATTATAAATATTGAGAAAAATCAGTCATTCACAACTATGGATTTCTTAAAAAGTTAAGGATTAGTAATTCTTTTTAAAAGAAAAGTTTGAGTGGATTCAATATTTACGAACGTGAGGAAGGTAATAGAAAAGAAAGGAGCACTCATTATCTTCTTTCATCTATCACTTAGGAGCCGTGCACAGGGAAGATTTGACGGTGAGTTTCCGGCTCCTCGGCACTACCCATCCTCCTCAGTCTCCACCTCGTAGATAGAAATTACCGCACATGGATAAATTTTTTTGGAGAGAAAATGCATATTCATGATGAGTTATCACTTCGCTATCCCTCACTTACCTTCACATGTATTTACTTTTTTTATTATTTTCTTCTACTATGTTTTACTTCAAAATTTCATTTTGATGTGATGTATTTCATCAATCTTTAATTTTTATCTTTCTATTATTGCCCCCACACATTTTATCTTTTTTTTTTGTTGGTTTTTAAATCAATATCTTGTATCTCAAAGATCTTTTTAGAGACAAATATTGAGGCAGGTGGAGTTTTTTCCTAATTAAATTTTCCACACTTTGTCAATTCTTCAAGAGAGGGTGTTCGGCTAATGGAGGGGACTGAAATGAGAATTTCAAGGAAAACAAGAAACAATAGAAATAAGGAATTGGGACTAATTAAAGCACCAAGAAAACTGAAATCACAACATTAACATTGGGAATCCATAGTTACATTGTCTTCTAAATTATAATCACGCAACACAAACCATTCACAAACAACCAAATAAATTAAAAAAAGAAAGTTAATTATAATAGTAGTAGTAATAATAAATAAAATCTATATATAAGTGAGCACTACTTTACAATCACATGGCTTCTAAGTCAAATTCTCTCTCTCTACATGTAGGCGCATTTTCCAACTGATCGACAGGAACTCGAACGACGGCGTTAAATGGCGACTCAAGATCGAATAAAACAGTGCGTGATTTCTCATCGTTCCTGATTTGTTTCACACGCAATATGCCTCCCACCAGCCTTGCCTCAATTCCGCCCAGAAGGGTAAACGTTTCGTAACTAAGCACCCCTGTGATTCTCTTACTGTAAATAAGACCGAATCCGAACTTCTTCATCTTCGCATAGCAAGGCTTTTTTATTTCGACGCGAAAGAACCCTTGGTCGTTGAAATAGTAGTACGTGACGTTATTGGGAATCACACCATTGAGAAAGTTGAATTTGGCCAGCAAATCGTGGGCTCGGCTGTTGGGAGTAGATCACAGAGCCTGCAGGTTCTGGAGAGATAGAGGGACATCATCGTAGGCTTCGGAATGGGCTATCAGCATCAGAAGAAGTGAGCAGAAGAAGAAGAAGAAGATGGGAGAGATGCGAATTGGTGGGGCCATGGACGACATTCTCCAGATCCAATATATCTATCAGAATGAATTGAAATGCGCTCTTCTCTTGCAGCCCCCTCCTTTATATAGAATTAAATAATATTTCACCGTCAACTTATCTTTGGCAGAAGAAACTTGTTTCTAATAACGTGGCATCGAATCCTTATTAGAAAAACTATTGTTTTTTCTTCTAATGTTGGTTATTGGTTTAATTCAAGGTGTTAACACTTGTTGCAACTCATGTGTTTAATAATTGTGCTAAGGCAATTAACCTTCTCACAAGATCAGCTGTTAGTCAACATCCGTTTAGAGATGTAATTGAACAAGCTAAGGAATGTTTGAATCACTTTAGTGTAGTGTCCTTGAATTTTATGTATAAATAGGCAAATTTTTATTTTCATTTACTTGCTTAGAATACCACTCTAAATTTTATAGGGAGTTTTTGTGTTGATGATCAACCACCACTTTTATGTCAACAGGTTGTGTATGAAATAGGTTTTGTGTAGTGACATGAACACTCTCATATCCTTTTTGGATTAATCTACTTTTTTATATAAAAAAAAGAGCGACATTTAATATTCTATAGTGTCTTATATTTTAAAAAGATGACTGTGTAGAAGACACTAGTAACAATTAGTATGTGTAATTTCTGATATAAATGTTATTTGGTTAAATTTTTTTTTTAACTGAACGAGTAATTTTGAATGGAGGGAGTAAAAATAAGTACACACTAATGCGATATGGTGTAGTCGAGGTCGTGATAGGGACACACCCTATAGCATTAATAAGTCGAATATAAATGAAGCAAAGATCAATCGTGTTTGAAAGACTAGCATGATTTAGACTATTTGTACCGGTGGACAATGATGACATTAATAAGATATATATAATAATATGATCAGGTCACACTAATGAGATATGGTGGTTAAGATGGAGGTAAGGACAGGACTCACTAGATGCATGCCATAGTTAATCGCACTGCACGGAGAACGAGCAATAATTAAAGGCACGGGGGCCGGTTTCTGTGTGGGCGTGACTCGTTGCTTGAAATATATGTCACAAAGTCAGCAATCAAACGTGGAAGATATTTCATCTCACACTAAGCATAACTTTCAATCAATGACTAAAAAATCATATCAGACTAGCTAGCCGCCGGTTAAACAGGTTGGGACCGGGAACTGGCACCTGGTCTAGTCCGAAACTTATCCACAATGGTGGTAATATTATCAAAGATGAAGTATTTAAAATCAAACACACTGGCACTGCCAAGCTTGATGGCACAGGATTTTGTCCGAATCCAACAGTTAGTGGCGATGAGGTTGCAGATAGAACCTGTGCTGGAGTTTTTTTGTGTTTGTATATGTCAAAACAAATCTTACATTGCTCCAATTATTTACAGCGAGTAATTCGAACCAAACCCAACATGTCAAACTAAATAAATTTGAAAAAGTTTAGGATAAGGGTTAGTAAAATAATGCTGTAAAAATTTCAGAGGGGTTCAAATTTGGCCTGAATATCCAAATATAAAACTCACATTTTAAAATATATTAAATATTAATTAATTCTTAAAGTTTTAAATTAGTTTATACAACCATATATTTTAATACATTATTATAGATATTTTTAAAAAATTAAAAATATTTACATTGTCATATTTTTATTACTTTTCAATCTATAAAATATCTCAAAATAATATTTAAAATGTACTTTAATATTAATTTTTAAATTCTAAGACCCACACATTATTTAAAAAAAAAGCTTAAGTCTTCTACATGATTCAAGTAACCCAAAAATATATTTTATATTTTTATAAAATAAAAATAATTAATTTTAAAGTAAAAAATTAATTAAAATTAATTGAAAAATAAAATTTTGTTAATATGAGTATTCAATTAAACTAGTCCAAATAAGTCCGAAACCCAAAGAGATTTGGCCCATGTTTGGTTATTTAGGCTTTTTATAAGCTTGGGCTTATTCATGCTAGTTTGCATATATCTGATGCGCCTAAATTACCAACTCTACTAACATATATTGTGTTCCTCACCACCATTGTGTACTATGGCAATGTCAGGACCCTAAAACATAGGGTGCGATATTTTTAAAAGGGTAAAAGTAAAAATTTACTTTGAAACTTTTCCTTCAAGAGTGCCTGGTATCCTAAACTTTTGTTAAGAACAATATTGCCCCGAAACTCTCAAAAATAGTGTAATGTTGCCTGTCGTCAAAGTTGACTGTTTTGTATGACTGGACTTGCCACTTGGCATTTTTTAAAAATTAAAAAATGATAAAGGTGCAAATTTGTCCTAAACTTTTCTTCCAGGAGCACTCAGTATCATAAACTTTTTTTTGAGGAGCAATGTTGCCCTATTACTAGAGTTGACCATTTTATTTGACTTCACTTGCCATGTGACATTTTTTAAAAACTAAAAAAAGTAAAACAATGCTTCATCCTCATCAACTTCTTTTTCTTTATTCACAAAACTAAAAATGCAACATAACTCAGAACACTAAGATGAAAAATCAAACTCAAATTTTCAACATAAAAAAAACAATTGAACCAAAATTTTAAACATAAAAAAAAAAAAATCAAAGACGTGGGGTAGAGAAGAAGAAAATAAAGAATACAACTCAAGAATCCAACAATTCAATAACAACTCAAAATATCCAAAAAACCAAGAATAGTTAAAAAATTAACAAGTCAAATTGTCCAACGCCAAGTAGGGAGAAGTAATGACTCAGTGGGTGATGACTACAGAGCTTCTCATTTAGCTATTGTCTTACAAATGCTGATAGTGGAGGAGGGAGGAATGAAGATAAGAAGAATGGCTGAGTATGCAGGAGGAGGAGCGATATGCAACTAAAACACAAGAGGAAGGGGATAGCATTTTTTATTTTATTTTTT